TCTGGAGGCTGAGGTGGGAGAATTGCTCCAACCCAGTAGGCGGAGGTTGCAGTGAGCCAGGATTGTACCACTGCACTCCAGCCTGGGTGACAGACGCAGGCTCCATCTCAAAGACAAAACAAAAAACAAAAAACAGAAACAAAACACATACTTCAGTATAATTCAATTCAATATCTCTTTGTGCTCCTCAATAATCATCAAGTATAGTTTAGTCTAATTCCTAAATTTTTTCTTTTTGAATTTTAACACCTTAATCAAAGGGTGGGTGTGCTTGACATGAAGTCTTTAGAGGTAGTACCTATTTAAGCTTTGATGCTTTTTTTTTTTTTTTTTTTTTTTTTAACAGTTATGGCTAACTGCAGCCTAAACCTCCTGGGCTCAAGCAATTCTCCCACCTCAGCCTCCTGAGTAGCTGGGACCACAGGCACATACCATCATGCCTGGCTATTTAAAATATTTTGTAGAGACAGGGTTTCGCCATTTTGCCCAGGCTGGTCTTGAACTCTTGGGCTCAAGCAATCCTCCCACTGGCCTCCCAGAGTACTGCGATTACAGGCATCAGCCACCTCACCCAGCTTTGATGCATTTAATATAATAATGCCTTAACATTTATTGCCACTTGGGAGAAAGGTCCTATTAACATTTCCTTTGTTTTCTGTTGTTTTGTTTTTAGAGACAGGGTCTCACTCTGTTACCCAGGCTGGAGTGCAGTGACGTGATCATAGCTCACTGCAGCCATAAACTCCTGGGACTCAAGGGATCCTCCCACCTCAGCCACCCAAGTAGCTAGGACCACAGTGCGTGCCACCATTGCCTGGCTAATTTTTAAATTGTTTTGTAGAGATGGGGGTCTCACTGTTTCCCAGGCTGGTGATGAACTCCTTGCCTTGCCTCAGGTTATCTTCCTGCCTCAGCTTCTAAAAGCACTGGGATTACAGATGTGAGCCACCATGTCCAGCCTGTTTATTTTTTATTTGTTTTGTGAATGTCTTCTTCCCCTCATGAACAGCCAGAAAGAGAAAAAAAGGTAGTGTGGTAAAAACCAGTCACCTGTGTAAAAATTCTAGGATGTTCTTTTCCCAGTCTGCAGATACTGTGCAAATCACATCCGTGGTCACTGTCCCTCGTTACAGGGTTTAGGGGCTTACTGATTAACTTGAGGCACTGGTGGCCAAGCAACCCTCACAAAGCCAAAAATAGTGTTCCTGCTCTACCATGAGTCTCAGTGTTCACAGAACTTAAAACAGAAAGCCATGACTCATTTTGAGTCACTTTCCTTTTTTATTTTCAGGTAGTTATTAGTAAAGAATAACACAAAGCAAAAACAAATTAAAAAACTTAAAGATACACAAAAAGTTTTGAGGTGGGCATTGATTTTACAAAATGGTTCACCGTCTTTAAGTACTCCATTTATTCAATGCATTTTAAAACGTGATTGAAATTACAGGAATCTTTTGGTGAATTCATCCACTGAATAAAATGACATATAGCCATAAACGGTATTCCTAATGCTAGGTCAGCCAAAAAAACCCATCCTGCTTTTAAAGTGTTTCTAATAATGTGGTAATTTTTTCTTTAAATATAAAATAAGTTAGTTTTTGTTGTTATTGTTTTTCTTTGAGACAGGGTCTTGCTCTGTTCCCAGGCTGGAGTGCAGTGGCATGATCATGGCTCACTACAGCCTCAATCTCCCAGGCTCAGATGATCCTCCCACCTCACCTCCTGAGTAGCTAGGACTGCAAGAGCACACCACCATGCCCAGTTTATTTTTTGTATTTTTAGCAGAGACAGGGTTTTGCCATATTGCCCAGGCTTGTCTCAAACTCCTGGGCTCAAGTGATCCACCTGCCTGGGCCTCCCAAAGTGCTGGCATTATAGGTGTGAGCCACTGTGCCAGGCCTAGGGTTTTTATCATAGAAGTACTGTATGCATGCAGTGGGAAGGAGTCACACAATACAGCATGATATGGAATGAAAAGCCTTCTTTCCCTCTTCCTTCACGTCTGTTCCCCAGTGGCAGTCATTGCTAATAGTCTCTGATTTTCATGTCTTCTAATTGTTCTCATTGTAACTTTAAATAATATCCTTATACCTCAGTTTCTTAGGTTACCAATTTGTTATCATCCCATTTCCCATATGAAAAATAGGACATTGGCACACTTACCCTTTCATTTCTCTGATTTTGTTTCCACTTTTCAGTAGTTGCTTTATTATTTTTACATTGTCAAGGTTTTTACCATTTTTTTCTATAACTGTATTTTCATGTTTATTATAGTTGGTTATAAAAACTTATTTTATTTTATAATTTTTTTGAGACAAGGTCTTGCTCTGTTACCCAGGCTGGAGTGCAGTGGCATGAGCATAGCTCACTGCAGCCTTGAACTCCCGAACTCAAGTCCTCCCACCTCAGCCTTCCAAGTAGCTGGGACTACAGGCATGTGCCACCACACCTGGCCTTTATTTTTTTTTCTTCTAAAGGAGGGGTCTGATTATGTTGCCCAGGTTGGTCTTGAAGTCATGGCTTCAAGTGGTCCTCTTGCCTTGGCTTCCTAAAGTGTCAGAATTACAGGCATGAGCCATTGCCCCAGGCCTGCCATCTTAACCATTTTTATGTGTGCAGTTCAATGGTATTAAATACATTCATAATGTTTTGCAACCTATTTATTCTGATATAATCGTATTCTTAGAGAAAAGTTATAATAATACAATAAAACCCCCACATACTCTTGACTCACTTCGTTCCGACTGACCACTTGTTAACACTTTGCCTTTTTGCTTTATCATTAGACCATTCTTTCTATATGGATGTATATATTTTCTCTAAATGATATAAAAATAACTTGAAGACATCATGCCATTTTATCCATAAACATTTCAGTGTCTATTTCCTAAGAACAAGAATGTTCTTTTACCAACCACAGTATCTTTTTAGGATCAGGACATTTAACATTGAAACATCCAATCGTCTAATCCATAGCTCTACATTAACATGTTGCCAGTTATCCCGCTAACATCCTCCAGCTTCTCCCTAGGCCTCCTTCCAGGATCCAGCCCAGGATCACACATTACACTTAGTTGTGATCATCTCTTTCGCCCCCTTTAATTGGGAGCGTCCTTGGCCTTTCTCTGTCTTTCATGACCTTGACTTTTTTTTTTTTTTTTTTTGAAGAACACATGTTGGTTATTTTGTAGAATTGCCTCAGGTTTTCTTGTTTTGTTTTTTGTATTTTATAGACAGAATGGGGGTGATGTCCCTCAGTTTGGGGTATGATCTGTCACAATTAGATTTACGTTTTCTATTTTTGGCCGGAACGCCACAGCAGTGATGCAGTGTTCTTCCCAGGACATCATAGCAGGAGCTACATGATTTCCGTTTGTCCTCTTATTGGTGATGTTAACTTTGGCTATTTATTTAAGGTGGTGTCCACTAAGCCACTCTAAAGTTACTAATTTCTCTTTGTAGTTAATAAGTAATTTGTAGAGAATGCTTGGAGACTATAGAAATACCCTGTACCTCATTAATCCTTCACTCACGAGCATTAGCATCCATGGATGATTCTTGGCAGAACTGGCTATTGCTGTGATGGCTGCAAAATGGTCATTTTTCTAAATCTAAAATTCCTTTGCATGAATCCATTGGTTTTCCACTATAAGGAAAGGCTTTCTCTTCTTGCTGCTACATAGGAATGATACCTTGTCCAGGGTGGCATCAACATGAAAGGGGATGTATTTGGCACTACAGCAATTCCAGTTGTCCTTCTTTCTGGCCCTCAGCCTCCATGTCCACTCAGTGACAATGAGCAGGAATAGATGGAATGAGTGACATGTCCACTCAGTGACAATGAGCAGGAATGGCTGGGTGGGGTGGCTCACAACTGTAATCCCAGCACTCTGGGGGGCTGAAGCAGGAGGATCACTTGAGCCCAGGAGTTTGAGACCAGCCTGGGCAACAATGCAAGACTCTGTGTCTAAAAAACATACAAAAATTAATTGGGCATCATGATGCACGCCTGTGGTCCCAGATACCCAGGAGGCTGAGACAGGAGGATTGCTTCAGCCCGGGAAGTTGAGGCCGCAGTGAGCCGTGATCATGCCACTGTACTCCAACCTGGATGACAGAGCAAGACCCTGTCTCAAAGAAAAAAAGAAAGAAAGAATGAAATCAGTTAGTTTATTTCTTTATGTCTGTATGAACTCAGATTGTTATTCTATTCCTTGAATATTCTATTGCTATTATTTACTTATTTGGCTAGCGGGAGCCCCTTTAAGCTACCTCTTATGTCCTTTTGACACATCCTTGACATTTTTTTTAGCACTTCCCTATTTTCTGGTACAAGATACTCCAGACTCATTTTGTACTTTCTCTGCCCCAGCCTTGAATTAGCAACGTTCACAAGGATCCTCGGCTCCTTAAACTGAAGAATGATATTTAGAAAAGTAGCAGCTTGTATGTGAGCCCATGGAGTCCACGGCCATGCTGGCCCCAGCCCAGCTCTCAGTCCCTGTGGTCCAGCACATAGGGTGGGTTCAGAGGCAGCGGAAAGGAATGAGGCTCCTTAGTCCGCCCATTGGATGCAGCTCAGCAGCAGCTTGGGCATATTCTCTGATGTTTAATTAATAATCCAATAATTAACTTTCAGGAGGCCAACTGCTGGTTTGCATGCATGTGTAATCAGGGTGAAACCAGTCTCTGCAGGTGCACTTTGGGAGAAAGGGGCAGGCCAGGTCTTGCTTTGACCTACCCCTGACCTGCATTGGACAGAAGCAGAATTTCTCACCTGGTTGCTTTTCCTCCAGCTGCCAGAAAGGAGAAAGGTGTCATCTGACGTTGCAGGTGTGTTCATGAAGACTTAGCCGGTGACCGTTTGAGGCGAAAGGCTTCAGGGCCTGAGCTCACGGCACTGCCTCTGGCAGAACTGTCCAGCGGCGTACTCAGCTCTGCTTGCTGGATGCAGGATTGAGAGTATTTCCCACTCACGTGCAACTTCCCTGTCTTTCTAGACCCCGCACCACTCCACCGGACCCCCCACACTCAAGTATGGAGATTATTCACAGGAGAACGACTTCCCCTTCTGAATTAAAAACGCCCACCAGGCAGTCATGGCTTTTCCAGGTGGGCTGTAGGCCCCTCTGCTCAGAGGGCTTTTTGTCTTGGAGGCTTGGGAAGGAAGACCCCAGCAATGAGGAGCATGGGCCAGGCACCAAGTTGCTACACCCCGAGGCTGAGGGTCTTCAGGGATGAGAGGACTCTTGCCCTTGGGTGTGTTTTATGCTGCCCTTTCTGAGGGACTGATATGCTCTTTGCTTTTCTTGTCCCTGCCCCATCCTCTAACTCTACAGTAGACCCGATGCTGGGTGCATTCCATTTCCCCAACCCATTTTGTTTATGTAATAGGATGTTGAATGCGATTTATGTTATGCTGGAATTGATGACTGGAGCCCAAATCTGGGACACTAGGTCGTAAACAGAGCTACCCATGGTTGGGGCCAGACCTCTGTCCCGAGATTTCACAAGAGAGCCCAGAACTGGTCTAACCTTCAGCAACCATCACCCCAGCCCTTCCACCCCCTCCTCCCTTGGGCAACAGAAATGACTGGGTGGTGACACTCAGAGAATCTTAGCATGGACTTTGTGGGAGAGCACGTTTAGGGTGAGGGGATTCCTTCCTTCTGCCTTAGAGGAAAGAGTTGGGGATGAGGACTCAGGAGCATCAAGTACTTTGCATGTATGTGGAGGGGAGCTGACATGCTGTCCTCCTGTTGCATGTCTGCCTATACTGCAGACCATGGCCCTGGCTCTCAGCCAGTCAGAGCAGGAGCTGAAGAGAATGAGAGAGCACACAGGCCAGAGCCAGAGCTGGGCAGGGGAGGAGCCAGCTCCCCACCACTTGCACAAGTCACCATGCAAGGGAGCTGCTTAGAGTTGCCAGCCAGTCCTCCCAAGAGGCAAGCTCTGGGGACTAAAGTCTGAATGGCATCACGAATGTGGTGAGGCTGGATAACAGCCCTGTGAGAAGAGCAGGACATACAAGCTGCTACTTTTTTTTTTTTTCTTTTTTTGAGACAGGGTCTCAATCTGTTGCCCAGCCTGGAATGCAGTGGTGTGATCTCAGCTCACTGCAACCTCCACCTCCCAGGTTCAAGTGATTCTTATGCCTCAGCCTCTCAAGTAGCTGGGATTACAGGCACATGTCACCACCTCTGGCTAATTTTTGTATGTTTTAGCAGAGACAGGGTTTCACCATGTTTGCCAGGCTGGTCTCGAACTCCTGGCCTCAAGTGATCCACCCCTCTTCGGCCTCTCAAAGTGCTGGGATAACAGGCGTGAGCCTCCATGAGCCGCTGAACCCAGCCCCAAGCTGCTACTTCTATGTGGATGCCTGGGAGGCAGTGTGGCATCTGGGAAATATCCCTCAGGGGCTCTATTTGGCATTTTATTCTGGGGCTTTCCATCTCATCCCCTTCCCCCTTCTCTCTGTTTTGGTTTCTTTTCCTTCCTTCTCTCTCTCTCTTGCTGGGCTTACTCTTTCTCCAAGAAATAGAGTAGTGTCTCTCTCTCCAAGAACATCAGGGTTACACCCTTGGGGTCAAATCTAGGCTCTTCCCACCCAGGCTCTGATGAGCAGACTGTGGGAAGACTTAGTTATGGTTTTTTGTCACGTGGTGAGAAAAGATAAGCACATGCCCCCAAATATCCTGACACAAGCTGTCAGTGCTCAGTCACCAAACCCATTTGAAACTAGTTATATTTCCATTCTCAGGGTAAAGGGTTTCCAGCAGTTTCTACGTGCTCTAAGTTTCTACTCTTGAGGCTGATTTACTAGTCCAGTGAGATCAAGGAAATGAAAGACATTTCAAGCAGCAGCAGGTAAACAAACGCATATGCAAAGCAGCATTCAGAGTGGGAGAAGGAAGGCTCGCAGGAAAGAGGAATAAGGTTTCTGTCATTACAAAGGCATTCACGGCTAAGACAGTGGTATTCACAGTTATGCAAAGTCCAGAGTGTTACAATTTAAAACCTGAAAGGCTTAAAGTTACGGGCAAAAAGATCAAGTAACATCCAGGTGAGAATGGTTCAGGGAAAAAGCACAGATCTTAAGAGTGCTGGGGGCGGCCCCAGCTGTGAGGCTGGCCTGTCAGATTTCTTCTCTCAGCCTCTTCTCCTCAGCCCTAGTGGGGCCCCTCTCCGTGCCTGCCTCACGGGGATGCTGTGAGGAGCAGGGCAGAGGGCTTCTGTGGAAGCTGAAGGCACTCGCCACACCATCAGTCCTTTTGTTGCCGAAAGTTGCTGCTATTATGGAGGAACAGGAGTCCTGTCACAAGCCATGATAGGAAGTGAAACACAGGCAGAGACAGGAAGTTGGGACCTGTCCTGAATTTCGAGATTAGAATCCTAGGAACCAGTCCTGCATTCACCACACAGGTCCCTTCGTACCATTTGCTCAAGGACAAGCCTAGATTGGCAGTCTTTGTTCCGAACCACGAGGACTGTTCTGACATTTATTGACTTTCAGGAGACGGTTCATTTGTGGTTTGTGAAGGACAGGTAAGCAGTCATGTGCATGCGTAAATGAAGCTTACGGTCACCAGGGGTCTCCTGGCCCATCCGTCCCACGTGGCTGAATTGAGATCCCTGAGTATTTCCTGAGGCCCCTTCTTGATCTGTGGATGAGATACAGGAGGTGGAAGAGGAGCAGGGATCCTCCCTTTTGGTTTTGAGCACGTGCTGTTGGCTTCAGCCTTCGGTCCGAGATTCTGGGCACACCCATTGTTCTCAGCCATTCAGGAGCCATGCCCTGCAGACTCTGGATCTTAGATTTTCCCCTAAACTCCTGATTTTTCTGCCTTCTTACCGTGTTTATGGATAACATTTGTTCACCAGGTCCAAATTCATTGCACATGGTGACTCCTAGTTTTTGGTGCCTCCCTCTCCCCACCCCCTCCCCCAGCTGAGAACCATAATCACTGCTGTCTTTTGAGGGCACTGGAAGACTCATTCACACCTGAGTTTGGATCAATTGCCAAACCTGTATAAGAGCATTTAAAGTGTGAGTTGCTACTGGTTTTGTTTAAGATCGTTTTAGTGTATCCACAAAGTTATGTTTTTTTCAGTAAAATATTTCCATTTTAGTGTTTATAAGTGCCTTTGTCATTTGTGAATTGGAAAAATGAACAAGGAATCTGTTTATGTGTTATTAGCCTCTGATTCCAAACAATTGTCCAAGAATGCGGTAGGATCCCGGGCTATCAGCAGAGATCTCTGTATCAGTGCTATCAGGAAAACAGGAATGACTCCAGTCGTTTTAAACAGGGAATCTCATCCAAAGGGTTGATCACAGAGGCATCAGAAGGGCTGAAGGAGCAAAGAGTGTCCAGTAAGGTTGGCCAAAGGTTAGTAACTGCCGGAAACTGCTGTTCCTGCTAGGACTGGAGGATGAGGGCTCATGACCACAAGCCCCAGGAGTTGAAACCAAGAACTTCACACTCACTTAGAAGCGTCATCTATTGCTACTGCCTGCATTTCATGTGTAGGGTTAGAACTCTGTCACACAGCCACGTCTAGCTGCAAAGAGGCTGGGAGTCTACCTGAATGGTGACCAGAGGAAAAGGACTAGGCTTGTGAACAATGAGTGTCTGCTACATATGGGCACGGGAGTCACTGTTAGAAGAGAACAGTCATCTTTTTGTAGACGTATGCTTCAAGATGTGTGTGTGTGTGTATCTGTGTGTGCATGCGTGTGTATGTGTGTGCATTTGTGTGTATCTGTGTGCGTACATGTGTGTGCGTGCATGTGTGTGCACGTAGGTGTATGTGTGTATATGTGTGTGCATGCATGTGTATGTGTTGTATGCATGCGTGTGTGTATACACACACACCTGCTCTGGCACAATAAGATAAGAGTGTTTTTAAGCTGAGTTCTCCTACCTCCCTCCTCCTGTTCCACTCTCACTCCCTTCCCATGCTGTCCCTGGCCCTCCCAATGGCCCCTCAGCTGATTTCTGTGTGTTCTCTTTGCAGGGGGCCTTGGCCCAGCCTCAGCCCTGGTGGAAGAGCCAGCTGTTCATGTGGGAGCCTGTGCTGTTTGGGACCTGGGATGGTGTGTTCACATCCTGCATGATCAACATCTTTGGGGTTGTGCTCTTCCTGAGGACTGGCTGGCTGGTGGTGAGTGCTGAGTTAGTGGTCCGGAGCCTCTCACAGGCCCAAGACGGGAAAGCTCTGCCGCTCTCTGCATTCTGCAGTGCAGGCCACAGATTCCTGAAGCACAGATGCTCCCAGAACATGAAACAGAAGCAGGCACAGCTAATAGCTAGCATTGCTTGTTAAATGAGCATCCTGCAAACATAGGCTTCGGAAGTTCTGATAGAAGCCTCACACCATAGATTTAACTATGGAATAGGAGCACAGAAGTCAGGCGGGACTCTGTGGGCGGGACTCGAGGTGGGCCAGAGATCAGATTGATGGCAATTTTGCCTCCAGTTTGTGGCCCCCTGCAGTTTTCCTGGTGTTCTTCACCTCATCTTGGGTCCATCCACATGGTTGACTTCCCCCACTGCACTGCGACCCCGTGAGTAAGACTGTGCATGGGGCTGCTTGGCCAGAGGTGTGGGCCGCCTCCCTCTAGGGATGGATTGCCTAGGACAGACCCTGCTGTGTGAGATCCTGGGTGTCAGTTCATCTCCCTCTGTGGAAGGAACAAAGGGCCTCTTTAAGTCTCATGCAAAAGCATCCTAGGACCTTCCAAGCAGATGTGTGTCTGGAGCAGGGGTTCTCAGTCCCACACACACTGCCATCTTGTGCAGTGGGACTTCAGTAGTCCACATAGGTGCTCCAAATAAAAGGCAAGCCAGTCACCATATAAACATTGTGAGCACTGCTGTGTGCCAAGCACTATTTAGTGCCAAGGGGATTACAAAAGACAAGACATGACCCAGGCCCTTGTCCTCTCCTCTCCTCTTCCCACCCATGAGCTAACAGCCATGGCAAGTAGATGTCACATTAGGAGAGGTCTCAAAGCAGCATTAAGTCCCTCAGGGGTGGAACGAACTATGAGTGCTACAGTCACTGAGGTGTCCAGGAAGGCTTCCTGGAGGAGATGTGGTTGAGCCAGGCCTTGAAGGGTGAGCTAAACTAGATGGGTGAAAGTGAGGAGGCCATTCAGGGTATAGAATCTCCAAGTCAGGATTCTCCAGAGAAACAAGCCAATGCCAATAGGAGCTGTAAGTATGTCAGGTATATCAGCAGGTAAGGAGTGATGCTGTAGCCTCAAGTCTGAAGGCTGGAAACTCAGGAAGAATTTCTGTGTGGCAGCCTGGAGGCAGAATTCCTTCTTCTTTAGGAAACCAGTCTTTGCTCATGAGGCCTTCAATTGATTAGATGAAGCCCACCCATACTATGCAGGGTAATCTCCTTTACTTAAGGTCAACTGATTGTAAATATTAATCACATCTGAAAAACACCTTCACAGCAACATTTAGACTAGTGTTTGACTAAACAATTGGTTGCCATTGTCTAGCCAAGTTGACACATAAAATTAACCATTACATGGACAAATTCCAGGAGATTTAAGCTCCTTTATAGTGAGGTACACAGGATTCTTAGCCCCCATAAGAAGCCTGGGCAAGGTCAGACCTTCCTAAGCTCTCATTCTCCTCCATACGCAGATCCTAAGCTTAGGGTTCAGCTTTAGCCACAGGCAGGGTGGGTCTCAGACCACCGGTGGAGCCCCCAGGCATCATATTATGAACGCAGGAACAGAGCACCACCGACTTCCAGGACAATTTTCCAGCTTGTGTTAGGCCACCCAGCTCTTGCACTGGTTCTGCCCACTCCTAGTTCTCTCTCTAGCACCTGCAATGCATGGGTCTCGCCTATCAGGGGTCTTCCTTGCTTTCTACTGCAAAACATTTGACATTACATCTTCTTAGATGTGCTGCATCCATTTCCTCTCTGGGACTCTTGCTTTTCACCTTGAAATGTGTCTATCTGCATGTGTTCATCTCCAGGCATGTGTTTGTTTATTCACTCGACAGGCATTTAATGAGCACCTGTTTTGAGGAGGTTATGCTAAGCACTGAGAATATGAAGCAGAAGAAAACATGATCCTGCTCTGTATTAGTCCGTGTTGCGTTTCTATAAAGGAACCCCTGAGGCTAAGTAATTTATAAAGAAAGGAGGTTTATTTGGCTCACAGTTCTGCAGGCTGTACAAGAAACACAGCACTACCATCTGCATCTGGTGAGGCCTCAGGAAGCTTTCACTCATGAGTAAAGGTGAAGAGGGAGCAGGCACACCACATAGCGAGAGAGAAGACAAGAGAGATGCTGGGCTTTTTTAAACAACCAGCTCTCCTGTGAAAGAACAGACTGAGAACTCACCCGTTACTGTGGGAGGACACCAAGCCATTTGCAAGGGGTCCATCCCCATGACCCAAACACCTCCCACCAGGCCCCACCTCCAACACTGGGGATCACATTTCAACATGAGATTTGGAGGGGATCCAAATTCAAACATTTAAACCATATCCTCGCCTGGAGCTCACAGACTACTGGTAGAAACTGGCTTGGAAACACTCAATATGACAAGTCCTGTGGAAAGTTCCAAGCCCTGGCACTGGAGGAGCCCAGAGAAACGGTTACAGGGCCAGCTTCCTGGCGAGGAAATCCTAAACACTGAGGCCTAAAGGATACGCTGGAGTTAACCTGGCAAAGATGCAGAATGAGCAGGAGACGCCTTTCAGGCTGGAGAATTAGCGTGGGGAAGGGTGGGGTGGGGAGAGCTCTTGCTGCATGCTGGGCACAGAGCGAGATTAGGAGGCACCTCGTGAGGGCATCAGCAGCTCTGACTGTACCCTCTAGGCATGGGAGTCATGGAAGGGTTTGCAGCCAGGAAGCTTCCCTTCACTTAGAACTTCTTCCTGGCCATGGCTTTTGTGGTGCTTGCTTTGTCCTTTTTTAGTTGTCCTGCCTCTGTGCCCCCATCCTGTCCCCCATTCCAGTGCTGTGGGAGGAGGGGAGGTGGTCAGTGCTCCCAGCAGGGAGCTGGCAGGGTCTCCTCACCTAACGTGGCCTTGCTCCTTGCTATTCTACTGCAGGGAAACACGGGAGTGCTCCTGGGCATGTTTCTGGTGTCCTTCGTCGTACTGGTGGCCCTCGTCACGGTGCTGTCTGGCATTGGTGTCGGGGAGCGCAGCAGCATCGGCAGCGGTGGCGTCTACTCCATGATCTCCTCGGTCCTGGGTGGGCAGACGGGAGGCACCATCGGGCTGCTCTATGTGTTTGGACAGGTGAGGCCTGCGCCCAGGATGCTTCCCCTGCCTGGCTCTCTGTCACTTTCTTCTTGTCTATTTCCTCACTTGACCTGGTGAGAGGGTAGGGTGGGGACGGTTGCCCCATGTGACAGATGAGCAGGCTGGGGCTCTGAAGGGAACTCAGCAGAGAGCCAAGCCATCATCCCGGGCCTGACCCCTTAGTCTCACACTCTTTTCCCTCTGTTGCTTCTGCCTCCTGGATGCCTGATGTGGCCAGAGGGCCAGTCCTGGCCAGCACATTCTTGCTGTTCGATCTAGGGACCCGCATGCATGACAGCGGCTGGAGCCCAGGTGGCAGCTGGGCGGCCTGGGCCCTGGGGTGCTTTTTTACTGAAGAGGGGTATTTGGCTGTGCCAAAAGGGCTTTCCTAGAAACAGGCACTTCTCAAATGAGCTGGAGCTCCCAGGCACAATTGATAGCTTGGGTGGCCGTCACAGGGAGGCCAACAGCCCCTTGTGCGGATGCCCCGACTGAGAGGGAGAATGTTAATGAGGAGGCTGCTTCAGCAGAATGGACGAAGGCGCTTCCAAAATGAGTGAGCAAGGGGAAATCCTAAGGCTTTTTTAGCTAAAACACAGGCATGGTGACTTAATGCTGAGGGAACAAAGTACAGACATTAAGAAGCAGTTCTTTGTCAGCGTTTCTTGGATTGAAAAAGGCTTTTATGAGAGTGCAAGTGGTGGTGGGTGGTTGAAAAACAGTTTAAAGAAAAGAATTTGTCTAAGTAAGAGTGTGCAAGAACCTCCCCAGAGAAAGCACCGATTTTGTTTCTTTTATTTTTAGGCAGCAGGAGCAGGGTGTTACAGCATACATACATCTGATTCTCAAACAGCACAGAGCTGCGTGTGTGCATGTGCGGGCGGTGGGGTGCGTGTGTGTCTAGGACAGTGCAGGGAAGGCAGATGGCTCCCTCTGAGCTCTTAAAAAGCACTAGCTTGACTGCAGAAAGGTCTGTAAGTATAGTATTTTGAGAGGGGAGTCATAAATGGCCAGTTTGTTTTATTACCCTGGGGATTTGGTATATAGATTTTTTTTTTTTTACTTTGCTTTTTTATAGCCAACTAAGCTGCAAGGTAGGCAAAGTCCTGTTTTCCTCCTCTTGGGGCAGACACCAAGTGAGCCTCTAGAAGCAGATGCCATGGATGGGCACTGGCATGAACACTCTTGGACAATGAGAGGGAGCCGGGCTGTTGAGAGTCCCCCTTATGTGGGCTGATTTGGAAAAAAAGATACTCACAAGTAAGATGTTTTCTAAGTGCTGGCAGCCACAGCCTGAGACGCTAGAGCACCAGCATCCCAGCTGTTTCGCCTTCTTTCCAATTGGGCCTTGGTCTGAAACATTAGAGTCCCCCGGTCCTTGTCTCTGGAATGCCTGTGCTTTGTTTGTGGCTGACCCAGGCCTGGAATCCCTGATCGGGGTGTGATTACTGTGTAACCCTTTTTCTTATCAATTGCTGAATTTGGTTTGTTAGCATTTTGTGGAGGATTTTTGTGTATATATTCATGAGGGATATTGGTCTGCAGTTTTCATCTGATTCTTTGTCTGGTGTTGGTGTCAGGCTAATTCTGGCCTCGTAGAGTGAGTTGGAAGTGTTCCCTCCTTCTTCATTTTTTAGAGGAGTTTGTGAAGGATTGGTGTTAATTCTTTAAACATATGGTAGGATTTTGCCATGAAGCCATCTGGTCCTGGGTTTTTTTTCATGGTAGAAAGATTTTTGGTTACTTATCGAATCCCTTTACTTATATAGGCATATTCTGATTTTCTACTTCTTTTGAGTCAGTTTTGATAGCTTGTATCTTTCTAGGAATTTGTCTATTTCATGTAGGTCATCTAATGTATTGCCATATTAATCGTCTGTAGATTTTCTTGTAATCCTTTTTATTTTTGTTAGGTTGCTGGTAATGTCTCCCCTTTCATTCCTAATTTAAATAATGTCTTCTCTTTCTTTTTTCTTGGTCAGCCTAGATAAAGGTTTGTCTGCAAAGAACTAATTATTGGCTTTGTTGATTTTCTCTGTTGTTTTTCTGGTCCCTCATTCACTTCTGTTCTGACCTTTATTGATTCCTTCTTTCTGCTTGCTTGGGTTCACTTTGCTCATCTTTCCCTAATTTCTTAAGGTGACAGATTAGGTTGTTAATTGAAATCTTTCTTTTTCTAGGGTGCAGTTGGGATTTGAGGCTCCCTATTCCTGGTTCTTATTATCTCCCTTACCCATCATCCCAGGGCATGCATGCATTCATGTATTTTTAATGATTGCCAGAACAGATTCCCTGATTTTACCCCTGAGCAGGGGTCAGCAAACTTCTGTGAAGGGCCAGATGATAAATATTTTGGGTTTCGTGGGCCACATGACTTTGTCACAACTATTCCATCCTGCCATTGTAGCGTGAATGTAACCAGATAAACAGCATTAAAAAGATGGGTATGGCTGTGTCCCAGTAAAACTTTATTTATCAACATAATCAACAAGTAGGATTTAGCCAGTGAACCAAAGTTTGTCAAACCCTTCCCTAGAGCATCAAAATTAAGGAGATATAAACACCTAAAGTAACAATTTTAAAAGCTTGCAGGCCAGAAGCAGTTGCTTACGCCTGTAATCCCAGCATTTTGGGAGGCCAAGGCAGGTGGATCACCTGAGGTCAGGGGTTCGAGACCAGCCTGACCAACATGGTAAAACTCTATCTCTACTAAATACAAAAAACTTAGCCAGGCATGGTGGCACATGCCTGTAATCCCAGCTGCCTGGGAGGCTGAGGCAGGAGAATTGCTTGAACCTAGGAGGCAGAGGTTGCGGTGAGCTGTGCACCACTTCACTTTGGCCTGGGCAACAGAGCGAGACTCCGTTTCAAAATAAAATCAAATAAAAGCTTGCAAAGGCTCATCATTCTATGAAACCCTTCCCCTTTCATCTCTCTTGGATGTTGGTGGCAGGGCTTGCTCTGTGGGACCAAACTGTTTGGCAGAGGAGGAGATGACAGGCTAGAGTGGTCCTGAGGGGTCTTGGGGACTGCTTACCCTGAACACCAAAATGTCTATCTTCAGTTGGCGCTGAAGAACATTCAATAGTGGCTCACATGCTTTGTGCTGGACTCTGCATAAAAGCAATGAATGACTGGGAAGTTTTTATGGACCTGATTTGGCCTGGGGTTTTTGTTATGGGAGTTAACACATATTCAGGACATATGTGTTAGTCCACCAACTTTAACCTAAACCAGGGAATTTGTGTCAGATGGGGAGGGGTGCTGAGGGGCAGTTCTGGTCCTCCAGGTAAAGTGGAAGGAAAATGCCTGTGATTGTGAAGGTGTAATTTTGCTAAAACAATTACCTTGGAATGGAACCTTACTCCCTGAAAATAGGCCACTTTCTCTCTTTAAAATGGTGAACAACACCCCCTGTGTCTTGTGAGAAGGAATTAGAAGTTTCTCTGCAGAGAATGAGAAAAGGAAGCCCTGGTCTAAAGTTTAGAAGGAAATATAATACTTTTAAAATATAATAAACCCGTAAGACATTTATTCATTAAACAAACCACCAGGAATGTTTTTTCAGGAAGAGCAGCATTCAGGTTGGAAGGGATGAAGGGATGCCGCCTCCAGGGTGACTGGATTGCTCTAGGGAAGGCCTGGCAGTTGCTGAGTGTGTAGACAAAGGCCTTGAGTCCTGGGCTGCTTCCCTAAACCAGGGCAGACTGGGCTGATGTACCCTGATTTAGTGTTTGCATAAACATAAGGGAACTTTTAATATGTTTGCTTGTATCTTTTAATAAAATTATTTGACAGTTACTAAATGATATTCATTGTAGTCAGTTAACACATTGGAGACAATGAAAGAGTTTTCCCCACACCCTTCAGGTGATCCTAGTGTTCTTTTTTGGAACATTTCCCTCTGCTTATACTCCTGTATTTATGGATTTTTGAAGTGCCTGCCTGTTTGTACAAAAATGGAGACAAGGCTGGGTGCAGTGGCTCATACCTATAACCTCAGCACTTTGGGAGGCCGAGGAAGGTGGATCACGAGGTCAGGAGTTCAAGACCAGCCCGGCCAAAAATACAAAAATTTGCCAGGCATGGTAGCACACTTTTGTAGTCCTGGCTACTCGGAAGCTGAGGCAGAAGAATCACTTGAATCCGGGAGGTGGAGGTTGCAGTGAACCAAGATTGCACTGCTGCACTCCAGCCTGGGTGACAGAGCAAGACTCTGTAGCAAAAAAAAAAAAAAAAGAAAGAAAAAAAATGAGGACAAATTTCATACGTTATTCCATGTCTTGTCATTCTCACTTAACATTAAGTAATAGATATATCTCTTGGTCATTGTTTTAAACCAATACTTTTTAAGTGGTTACTTAATATTGTATAGTATAAATGCACTATAATTTATGGCTCATTTCTATTCTCCATTTTGTTTTTTTGAGACAGGGTCTCAGTCTGTTGCCTAGGGTGGAGTACAGGGTGCCATCACAGCTCACTGCAGCCTAGCACTCCTGGGCTCAAGTGATCGTTCCTTAGCTTCCCAACTAGCTGAGACTACAGGCATGCACTACCATGCTTAGCTAATTTTTAAATTATTTTTGCAGGAAACAAGGTCTTGACATGTTACCCAGGCTGGTCTTGAACTTCTGGGCTCAAGCAATCCTCCCAGTTGGACATCCTGAATTGCTGGGATTACAGGCATAAACCACTGCACCTGGCACCTGGCCTTATAATTTTTGTAGAGACGAGGTTTTGCCATGTTGACCAGGCTGGACTCGAACTCCTGGACTCAAGTGATCCTCTTGCCTTGGTGTCCCAAAGTGTGGAGATTACAAGCATGAGCCGCTGTGCCTGACCTTCTATTCATTCTTTTACTCTCCTCTGTATAAGTAGTTTTTTTCCTAATAGTGTATATTTTTGCATTTTCTCTTTTCTTTGTAATCAGGCTAACAGAGACTTATCTATTTAATTGTTTATTTTCAAAAAGATCAGCTTTTGTTTCTTGTATTTTTCTTTTGTTATTTTTCTTGTATTTCATTAATTTCATATTTCTTTATATAAAATACTTCTATTATCTTTTTATTTATGTTGATCTTTTTGTACCTCAATACTTTGTTCCTTTATTTTTCTTTTTGACTAATAAAAACATTTAAGACTATACATTTTTCTTTTCTGAACACAAGTTTATTTATGGTTCTTGAGTTTTTGAATAAAACATTCTCTTTTTCATTACTTTGTAGAAAATTTAAAATTTCATTTTTCCATTCTCCTGACTTTGCCAACATGTGTCAATTATTTTTCTATTGCATTTTGGTTGGTTTGGAAGTTCTACTATGCTTTTAACTCTTCTAGTAGTGACAGTCTACCTTCGGAAGTCATCATAATTCTCTATACTTCTCAACCAAGACACATTATTTACTAGCTCCTCTACCAACTAAATAAGAAACTTCTATGATACATTTACTTTCCTACTCTCCATAAACACCCCTACTTCTACCCCCAGACTCATTTTGAGAAGATGGTTTAATTTTAGACTGTTACTGCTTTCCTTAAAGTAAGTCTCTTTGGTTTCAAGCATCCTTATTTACAACTTATATTGCAAATTTTCAGTGGTATTACCATCATCTATTTAACATCAACAGATTATCTTATGATGTTCATAGCTAACTACCATTTCCTCTTCTTCAGCAGTGAAGAATAGCAAAGTCATAATGACAATGATGGTAGTGATTATTATTATTTTCTGCCCAGGCTGGAGTGCAGTAGCATGATCTCAGCTCACTGCAACCTTTGTCTCCTGAGTTCAAGTGATTCTCCTGCCTCAGCCTCCCAAGTAGCTGGGACTACAGGTGCACAGCACCGCACCTGGCTTATTTTTATTTTTAGCAGAGGCAGAGTTTCACTATGTTGCCCAGGCTGGTCTCAAATTCCTGGCCTTAAGTCATCCGCCTGCCTCGGCCTCCCAAAGTGCTGGGGTTACTGGTGGTAGCTATTGTTTCTATAACTCTATGAGCCAGATATTGTTCTAGGACTTTATATAAATCATCTCATTTAGTTCTCACAGTAACATTTCGAAGGTTACTATTATCTGTGTTTCACAGAGAGGTTAAAACACTTTCCCGTCAGCCAGGATTTGGCCTTAGATATTTTGGCTTCGAAGTCCATGCTCCTGACCACCATGCCCTTATAAGCATCCTGAAAAGCTTCCCCTGCGCCTCCCCTGCCCCACCCCCCATTGCTGGCATCTTTGGGCTAGAAGACAATTTTAGGTACAAACCAGAAAGATGAGCTCCACTGGAGTTACTGGGAACGAAAGGCAGCATTTACAGCTTGGCTCACTTTGCATGAGCAAATTGTTCTGCTGCTAGGAAAAAAAATCAGTTTGGAAGCTTCAGATGCAAATGGTCCCATGACATCATCCATCCTCTGCATGTCAGAGACACTGGGTACCTAGGAAGGTGATGCCAATATAAATGGTATTTATTGCTACATTTTTGTCATTTTAAAAAAACTTTATTTTGCTCAGATAATTTTGACCATGAAGAGTCCTGTTGACCTGGCCAAATACTAATGAAATAACTTCACTATCATACATCACACTCTCGGTGTTTAGTAAAAAGGAAGTCTGCATTTTAGGTTGAATATAGGAAAACATTAGTCTCTCTCTCTCTCTCTCTCTCTCTCTCTCTCTCTCTCTCTCTCTCTCTCTCTCTCTCTCTCTCTCTCAAAGATGATTGTATTTCCCTCACATTTCTTGGGCTTTCCACCTCACCCTAATATGGACAGAAATGTTTATCATTATGGGATACTGGAATAACTGTCTAAGCTAAGTGTGTAAATTTGGGGAAAGCTGACAAAAATGATATGTTTCTAGTTGCAAAATGAGCTGATCTCATTGAAGAATGGGGCCTTGTTCACAAGCTCCTCTCAGATCCAGAAGTTGTATTTCCCTCTGGCTTTTACATGACGCAGCTGGAACCTCATGGAGACTGCTTCCCAGAGCACCTTTTATATGATCAGCATATCACAAAGTATTTATTGAATGCTTGCAACATACTTAGCAAATGCAAGTATTTGAAGAGGTGCAATCAGCATAAACAATTTTTTAAGATATTTGTATTCTTGGTGGTGGGATGGGGAGACAAACTTATGTGCAAGACATGATAATAGAACATGGAACCAGATAATTAATTGTATGGCCCTGGCAGTTAGCCTACTATTTATCCAAAAAAGGAAGTTGAGGAAAGGTTTCATGGCAAAGGAGGGACTTGAACGAGGCCCTAATAAAATTTGTTTCTAGAGAATGGCAAGGGCAGGGCTACAGTGATGAGAGTGACCAACTGGCCCTGGGGACAGTGAAGGGACAAACCTGAGGAGAGAAGGAAGCTGAGTCTGAGGAATTAGGAAACCTGAGACTGATGTTATTTTCAACCATTTAATTCGAAATGAGCTTTCAAATATTTCCTGCAAGATAAAATCATGACACTCAGGCAAATATAAAATAACATGTGTCAAGGATTTCATTTTATTTTTTAAAGATTATATATCAAGTATTCATAGGAAATCTCACCGGGGATTTGATTTAATTTATGAATTAATGGAGGAGCCAGTAAGATGTTAAAGAGCAGTTGTGAAGGATGCTGGATGGATAGACATTAAATTTGTAAGTTGATAGTTAGGCAATTGAATGAATAAATGTTAGGATAAGATTGCTGGGTTAGACCCGAAACCAGTTAATGTCTTACAGGACAACAAATCCTAACCTTTTGGGTTATATGTTCCACTGGACAGAAGTTATTTGCATCTGTACTGGAAAAAAAATCCTTAAGTTAACATGTAACTTTACCAAATCTGGGACATTTAATCCATAGCAAATAGTGAGTAAAACGAAGGACATTCACCTAGCTAGTCCTTGGGTAGCCTTTGTCACATATGACATTGAAAAAGGTGTGCCACTCACTTTTTTTTTTCTATTACTAACTTTTAGATAATTTAAAAAATAATACTGACCTACAAAGAAATGAAGAAAAATCTGGTTTACTGCAGTGCCTTTTTAAGGCTCTGTAGATGGGACCCCCTGTGTGTTCTTGTTCTATATTTAGTCCTTGAATAACTCGGGCCGAGAAATCCGGAGGCCTCTTTGGCCCAGTGTCCCGTCTTCTTTCTCCCATAGTCTTTTCATCTTCGTTACCACTGACAGCTAGCTCTCGTCTAGGGTTCCTCCTTCATTCTTTCATTGAGATGTAGACAAGTAGAAATAGGACCTGAGGCAGGTTCACAGATGGGAACGGCTGGTTTAACCCTGTGCTGGTCCAGATGCTGAGCCTCGGTGCCAGTGAACATGTCTGATGGGGGAGCAGGGTTCTCATCTTGGGGCAGTTCTGCCTGTGAGCCCTTGGCTTTCTGTCTTGCTAACTCTTCTACCTGGAATCGCATGTCAGTGTGTTGCAGGTGCCATGTACATCACCGGCTTTGCTGAATCTATCTCGGATTTGCTGGGCCTCAGGAATATCTGGGCTGTGCGAGGAATTTCAGTTGCGGTGCTTTTGGCCTTGCTGGGCATTAACCTAGCAGGTGTCAAATGGATAATCCGCCTCCAACTGCTGTTGCTGTTCCTGCTGGCTGTGTCAACACTGGACTTTGTGGTGGGTTCTTTCACCCACCTGGACCCAGGTAAGCCTTTGGAGTCCAATATGTGGCCTTATGGATCTGCACTGCTTCATAGATGTTTGTGGGTGTGAGTTTGCCAACTTCATCTCCCGCTAACTCTCATAGGCCTTACCTACAATTGGTGTGGGCTGTTCCTGGATCAGGTGAGTGGGTGTGTCTTAGAGCAGCTTCATGGGGCTGGAAGCTCCTCTTCACATAGACATTGCCTAGCACATTTTCTATATGTCCTTTTATTTTCTTTCTATTAAAAAAAAAACAGGCTGGGAGCAGTGGCTCATGCCTGTAATCCCAGCACTTTGGGAGGCCGAGGCAGGTGGATCACCTGAAGTTTGAGATCGCAGGAGCTTGAGACCAGCCTGGCTAACATAGTGAAACCTTGTCTCTATTAAAAATACAAAAATAAGCTGGGTGTGGTGGTAAGCACCTGTAGTCCCAGCTACTCAAAAGGCTGAGGCAGGAGAATCGCTCGAGCCTGGGAGGCGAAGTTTGCAGTAAGCTGAGATTGCACCACTGCACTTCAGCCTGGGCAACAAGACAGAAACTCTGTCCCAAAAAACCCCCAAAGACAAACAAAACCCCCCAGAAAATTTAGGTAAAACAAATAAAAAGCAGAAGTGAGTAGATAAAGATCAGATTCATAACAGTGATTGGTAGAGTGGGCAAGAAATCAAGATGAGAGTAGGGAAGAAGACTTTAAAAGAACATAGACTTTCACAGTTTCTTTCCTTTTTTTTTTCACAAAAAAATGATATAAATATAACATGATAGCAATTGTCATTTTGGGGAGATGAGGGCAGATATGTGTTTGATTATTTGTAGTTTTTTGTAAAAATTTGTAAAAAATTTTTTCAAAATATAAAAATATTAACTACACTTAAATAAACAACCAGGTCTAGTTTTACAGCATTTGCAAATGGTATTATATTTGTAATCAGTCACAGTCTAATCTAACCTTGGGTTTTCCCCACCCTTGAGGATGCTTGGCAACTCTAATCCTACATCCTTATGCCTTGAGTGAGGAGCTATTACCCAGAGTGTTTATAACTTTGTAGCTTTGTGATTTGGATAGGTTAGGCACTGAGTCTTTGCTTCTCTCCGGAGTACAGAGCTAGTCCTAGGAAGTGATTGGAAAAAAGGCCATTGCCTGATATTTCACACTTCAGGCAATGTCTCTATGTAGCAGTAGTGACCAGGCATCTACATTGGAATATGGATAGGGAAAGGGAACTGTGTTTTGAAAAAACAAACCTGCAGCCCAGAGAATAACCTCTGTTGGTGGTGGCAGTAAGGGTGATGATAACCACTGCATTTGACAAAGTACCTGCTCTGGGCCAGACATTGTATAGTCAGTCAACTTAGCACTTTATATGGCGTATCTTACTTAATCCTTATCATAACCTCTTGAGATAGGAATAGCTATACCCCTTTTACAGATGAGTAAACTGGGGCTCAAAGATGATATACTTTGGGGTAATGCACAGCAGAGCTGGGATTTGAAGCTAGATCTGTTTGATACTAAAGCTTCCCTGAAGTGAGAAGTGGGGCCTGTTTGTGCACAATGACATGCTGTCTTTTTGTGACAGCAACTCTGCTTTTCCCCTTGGAGGCCACCCCTGATGTGTGCGTACACAGCTCTGTCTTTTAGAAAAATGTAATCCCAGCACTTTGGGAGGCCGAGGTGGGTGGATCACGAGGTCAAGAGATCGAGACCATCCTGGTCAACATGGTGAAACCCCGTCTCTACTAAAAATACAAAAAATTAGCTGGGCATGGTGGCGCGTGCCTGTAATCCCAGCTACTCAGGAGGCTGAGGCAGGAGAATTGCCTGAACCCAGGAGGTGGAGGTTGCAGTGAGCTGAGATCGCGCCATTGCACTCCAGCCTGGATAACAAGAGCGAAACTCCGTATCAAAAAAAAAAAAGAAAGAAAAATGTTGGTTGTGGGAAGGTCACCATTCAATTGGCATCCATTGATCTGGCCTTATTACTTCTGAGCATGTTAAAATATTCTTTTGGAAAATTGTCATTCCCCTGAGCTCCCTGAGTATCTCCTACCTGCTGGCATCCTAGTCCCTCCCAAGAAACCTTCAGATAGCCCAACAATCTGGCACCTAAAGGGTTAACCTGGTGGCCACTCTAGTGCTCAGGGCCAATGTGATGTCCATACTGATCACCTGGAGCCCAGGCCTAGCAGGTTGCTAAATATTTGAAGCATCTCCAGGAAGGAAACAGTGATTTTTTTTTTCCCCTGGCTATGTACCACCTTGCAGAGATGGCTCGCATATGGAAGGAGACTTGCTGGCCTTTGGCCATCAAACTGTCAATGAAGGAAAGACAGTCAAGTACCCTGATTCCTGGTACTTCCCCCTCCAGTGACACAGTTGCTGGAAGAGCTTAATTAGTTAAATTCCAAGGCGATGCTGGCTTCTTTGAAACCTCACACTGGCCTGATGTATTTTCCTTCTTCTTGATTAGAAGTTTTCTTGGCTGCTCTTCTAAGTTACTCCAAATATTTTTCCTTCCTTCTGGTCAATACATTAGTAGAGTGTAGTGTGAAATGAAATTTATTTTCAATCATTCCCATAGCAACTGGCCCCTCAACAATCTGTTTTTGGTATCACTGATGTTTCATATGGGATATTTTCTTTGTGGTTAAAAAATCCAAACTGAAACCAAACTATAAACCTTCAGAATGAATTTAGCAGAGTGACTTCAACTCTTAAAAAAAAAAAAGATGACATATACATAAATATTTGAAAAAAAGACTGGAAGGAACTATGCCTAACAGTGACTATCTTTCTGTTGAGATTACGTGTGACTAAATTATCTTATTTCTACTTTTCCTTCAATTGTCCAGTATTACTTTAAAAAAATTTAATAGATTTACTTTTAGAGCAGTTTTAGGTTTATGGTAAATTAAGCAAATAGTATAAAAGTTCCCACATACCCCTTTTCAACTTTCCCCACCAGTTTCCCTATCATTAATAATATCTTGTATTAATGTGATACATTTACTGGAAGCGATGAACCAATATTGATATGTTGTTGCTAATAGTTTAGGGTTCACTCAATGTTATGCATTCTATGGATTTTGACAATGTACAATGTTATGTACGCAGGATTACAGCATCATACAGATGAGTTTCACTGCCCGAAAAATTCCCTGTGACCTGCCTATTAATGCTCCCCAACTCCTGGCAACCACTGATCTTTTTACTGTTTCCATAGTTTTGGCTTTTCCAGAATGTTGTATAGTTGGAATCATATAGTATGTGGCATTTTCAGTTTGGCTTCGTTCACTAGTAATATGCATTTAAGATTCTTCCATGTCTTCTTCTGGCTTGACAACACATTTCCTTTTGTCACTGAATAAAAAGAAACTGGATGTAGCACAGTTTGTCCATTCACCTACTGGAGGACATCTTGATTGCCTCCAGTTTTTGGCAATTATGAATACAACTGATATAAACATCCATGTTCAGGTTTTTGTGAGGAAACATTTTCAATTCATTTGGATAAATACCTAGATACATAATTGTTGGAGCATATGGTAAGGCTATGTTTGTAAGAAGCTGCCAAACTGTCTTGTAAAGAGGCTGTACCATTTTGCATTCCCACCAACAATGAATGAGAGTTCCTGTTGCTCCACATCCTCATCAGCATTTGGTATTGTCAGGTTTTTTTTGTAATTCTAATAGATGCACAGTAGTATCTCATCATTTTAATTTGTAAATTTCAAATGACATGATATTGAATGTGTTTCTGTATGCTTATTTGCCATCCATATGTCACCTTTGGGGAAGTGTTGTTAAGATCTTTTGCTACCCAGGATGGAATGCAGTGGCACGATCTCGGCTCACTGCAATCTCTGCCTCCCAGGTTCAAGTGTCTCGTGTCTCAGCCTCCTGAGTTGCTGGGATTACAGGCATGAACTGGCACACCTGGCTAATTTTTTGTATTTTTATTAGAGACGGGGTTTTGCCATATTGGCCAGGCTAGTCTTGAACTGTTGGCCTCAAGAGATCCACCTGCCTCAGCCTCCCAAAGTGCTGGGATTACAGGTGTAAGCCACTGCACCTGGCCACCATTGAGTTTTAAGAGTTCTTTGTATATTTTGGATTCAAGCCCTTTATCAGATGTGTGTTTTGCAAATATTTTCTTCCCAGTCTGTGGTTGGTTCTTTCATTCTCTTAACAGTGTCTTTTGCGGAGCAGAAGTTTCAAACTGTAATGGAGTCTAACTTATCAACTTTTTTGCAGGGATCATGCCTTGGGTGCTGTACCTAAAATCTCTTTGCTAAACACCTAGATTTTCTCATTTGTTATATTCTAGAAGTTTTGTTTGACATTTAGGTCTATGATCAAGATTGAGTTAATATTGTGTGAAGGGTGTAAGATGAGGGTCCAGATTATTCTGGGGTTATTTTTGGCACATGAATATGCTGTTGTTCCAGCACCAGTTATTGAAAATACTCTCTAGTCTCCATTGAATTGCTTTTGTGCCTTTGTCATGTAGCTGTTGACTGTATTTGTGTGTTTCTGCACTCTCTTTTCTGTTCCATTGCTCTGGCTATTCTGTCTTCAATACCATACTCTCTTGATTACTACAGCTTTATAGTAAGTCTTAAAGTTAGTTAGCATCTGTCCTCCAACTTCGTCCCTTTTCACCAGTGTTTTTTCCTTTTTCTTTTTTTATTATTGTGCTTTAAATTCTGGGGTATATGTGTAGAACGTGCAGGCTTGTTACATAGGTACACATGTGCCATGGTAGTTTGCACCCATCAACCCATCATCTACATCAGGTATTTCTCCTAATGCTATCCCTCCCCTAGCCCCTCTCACCCCCTGCTAGGCGCCAGTGTGTGATGTTCCCCTCCCTGTGTCTATGTGTTCTCATTGTTCAACTCCTACTTATGAGTGAGAACATGTGGTGTTTGGTTTTCTGTTCTTGTGTTAGTTTGCTGAGAATGATGGTTTCTAGATTCATCCATGTCCCTGCAAAGGA